CCGCCGGCGTGGCGGCCGCGGCGGAAGCGGCCTGGGGCTTGCCGGCGCTGGCGCCGGCGACGACCGAGGTCGCGGAGGTGGGCGCGGGGTCGGCGTCGAGCGCGGCGGTTACGTTGATGCCGGGGGTTTCAAACTCGCCCATGTCCATAATGAGGAGGTCCGTGCCGCCCATCTGGCCGCCCTGCGCCGCCCCGAGCGCGCCGTCCTCGTCAGCACGCCTGGCGCAGCAGCCAAACGCGCCGTCCTCGTCAGCCTGCTTGGCGCAGCAGCCAAAGGCGCCGCTGCGGGGGCGGGGGTGGGGCGGGGGTCGATGAAGGCCGTGGTTAGCTAAGGTGAGCGAGCTCGCGGCGCGGCGGCTTGATGTGTTCGGGTGCAGGCGCCCTGGGCCGCCCCTGCGCATCCTCGCCACCCGCTACGAATCACCCCATCTGTGATTCTTACAACCATAAACCCGCGTTTTCATACACACACACACACACACACACGCTCTCTCTCTCTCTCCCTCTCTCTCTCTCTGCCGCTCTCACCAAGCAGCCGAGCGCAGGCCCTTGACGCCTTGATCCCTCCTAATCAGCAGCCTGTCGTTGTAGCCATAATGGTCCACAGCCCCAAGCTCCTGCACCCTATCCTTCACCTGCACGGACAAAGCAAGCGGCGAGAGGAATAGCCATGCGAGACGGGCGCCGCGAATGCGCAGCGCTCGCTGGGCCTGCCGCCGCCAACTACAGCATCGCATGTGCTGATGCGATGAGGGAGTGCCGCCTGTTTGCGTGTGTGCATCTTCGTGCATGCGTGCAAGCGTTGATTGCGTGCGTGTTGAGCAAGCGGGCCCGCGTTCATGCGCACACACCCACCTGGTCAAACGTGTGTGCGTCCATCAAGACCTGCCCGCCGTTGCCCATGTCAGACACAACTGCAGGAGAAAAGGGAGGGGTGAGCAGCACGCGATGGTGAATAGCAGCAGGAGTGGGCGGAGCGCACATGCGCTGGGGATCTTCGGCCGGCTGCTGCTGCCTCTCGGCAAGGCCCCTCGTGCCGCCTGCGGCCCACAAGCGATGCGGCAGTGGGGAAGCGCCGAAGCCGCCCGCGCAACCAACCGCGCGCTGTGCCGCGGCCCACCCAGATGCCAGCCCGTCCTGCTCCCCGCACCTCCCCGCGTCGTCCCTCGCCTGCCCCTTGGCCCTGCCCAGCTACCCCCCCGCTACCCCAGCTACCCCCCAGCTACCGCCAGCTACCCCCCAGCTACGCCCCAGCTACCCACCCTTTGCCAGGTCAAACACGCTGCTGTTCCTGATCTCTGCGCCCGCAGGCAGCACGCCGCTCGCAACCCCCATGCGCACGCGCAGGCCGAAGAAAAGCCGCGCATCCAGCGCCGCCGCCGCGCTGCCCTGGGCTGGCCCGAGAAGCATGTTGAAGAACCTGCTCTGGGACGTCCCCCGCCGCGATGTGCGCCGCGAGCCAAGGCTGCTGCCGGGCGCGAGCGTCTGCGACCGCGGCGCGACAGAGAGGTGCGGCGGCAGCGCGCCGCCGGCGGCGTCGGTCCCAAGGGACGAAGCGGAGCGCACGCTCCCGCCGCGCGACATGCCCGCGCCGCCCGCGTCCCGGGGCGGCTGGTCGCCCGGCGGCCCCGCGGGCAGCGCGTCCCCGGCGCTCGCGGCCCGCCCGCTGGCGGCAAGGTTCGCCGGCGCCGCGGCAAAGCCGGGGGTGGCGCCCGCCGGCGAAGACGGCGAGGTCGGAGGGTTGGCGCCGTCCATGCCGTCCAGAGCGAGGCCGTCCACCAGGCTGGCCGAGCTCGTCCTGCTCTCGTGACTGACATGAGTCGTGAACGACAGGTTGGCGTGCACCTGCGCCGCCGTGAGCTGCGCCAGCTGCATCGATTGCTCCCACGCCGGCGGCCCGTCGCCCGCGCCGGCGTTGACGTCCGCGTCGCCGCCGCCGCCGCTCTGGCGCCCGCTGGGCGCGGAGCTGCGGGCGGTGATCAGCGACCGCAGGCCCTGAGCAACGCTGCTGCTGGCGCCGCTGCCGCCGCCGCCGCCGCCACGCACGGCGGAGCCGTTGCGGCCGGTCAAGCTGCTGCCCGGGCTGCTGTTTTCGGTCATGACCGTGCCCTCCAAGCTGGCAAAGTGCTGGTGGTCCTCAATGCCCCCCTCCATGAGCCCCGCCGGCCAGTCCACCTGCGCGCATCACGCGCGCAAGCGCGATGTGGGTCCAAATAGCACACCTCAGCGGCCCGCACGATGACACCTGCACATTCACCCCTGAGAAAGGCCATCCACACCGCTCCTTGACTGCTCCAGCACCTGCCACCTGTGCGCGCAAGCACACACACACACACACACACACACACACACACACACACACACACAGACACACACACACACACA